TTTGGACGGGATGTTCACCCAAATCCTCCTCCATTATAAACGACCTACTGTACTAGATATATATTTTCATTTTTATATAAGAAATGTGTGTTAATTTCATCGTCTTACTTTCAGAGATAAAAAATAATAATTACTAAGTGTTTTGTGTTGAGAGCTCGAAGCGAGGAACGTGGCAGGTGGTGGCAGCGATTTCCTGGTCTACCAGAAGACATAAACAACGGAGCTGGATTTCACAATACAGTTTATTTAATCTGCGTCACCAGTTTGTCTTTGATGATGTTAGATTAAAATCTAGAAAACTAATTCGTTTGATTAACGATGTTTGTATTGTGTGATGACACTTCCTTCTGAGAAGTGAATAATTAATCTCTCAGGAGGTACAACAATAATGTACACAAACATCAACTGTGTACGTCTTCCGTGTCGAGACTCGCTCATCGTTTTCTTTGAAATTTGATGACTGTCTTTACTGTATAAAAGAAAACGACACCGCCCAACTAACCTTTCGAGGAGAACTTCGCTATAACATTGGTGCCTCATTAGGTAATTTTCTCTACAAATTACAAAGGGAAATTATTCCATTATGAATACCACGATGAAATATATGGAATAGTGGCAATACATTTTTTTTTTGGATTTAACTTTAATTCGAAGACTAATGAGAGAGAGAGAGAGAGAGAGAGAGAGAGAGAGAGAGAGAGAGAGAGAGAGATATTAACATGACTAAGGCTGCCGTCTGTGGTTACATAATTTTAAGCATCAGTGGTTAAATGTCAAAAACCTGCGTCACACAACACAAACTTACCATTAATGTACGCATCTATATTACAAGTTATGGCATTATTAGGTATTAAAAGAGTTCTCATTGTCGGAGTAAGTAGTAATAGCATTATTATTCAAGGTTATTACACTCAACTGCTCACACAGAATCATAATATACAAACACTCATGTGGCAGGACTCACTCTACGTCTAACCAAACCTGACAAAATATAAACCATTCCTCAAAGCCCTAAATCATCACACACAGAGTAGTCGAGTCATGCCATATATAGTGTAATGTCACCTAACCTCTTGAAAGGCTTTTTTTTTAATATTTCCATAACTTGAGAACTAAAGACCCCAGTTGTTATTATTATCTATCAGCGCCTTACAGAAGTTATCCTCAGGTGAATCGACTATATTGTTTGTATATCTGCAGTGTCTGTGTATAGGCTGAACCAATATGAATTTATATGGTGATTTAACTGAATAAATATGTATTTCTCTTTTCAAATACATGGGAGTCTAGTTTCGCTTTGTTTCCCACTACAGGAGTATGTACTTAAAGGAAAGGATCAAGACAACAATGTTACAACTACCAAAACAATTAACAGTAGAGGTTTTGCTAGAACGTCTCCAGCACTGCACATTCACTGGAATATCTCATCTATTTCCCTATTTTTTTCCAGTTTTCTGACGAATTACACTCAATAGCGCCACCACCACCACCACGCTCCCTCAATCGGGCATACGAGCGCTTCTGAGGGGGGGGTAAATGTCTTTTCTGATGAATTCTATTGTCTACCAAAAACCAATTTATACCCTCGACTAGCACTCTGTGAAACTCCCTGCATCATTGTGTTTTCCTTATGTCATATAATCTCCATCAGTTCAGATCATCATGTTTCAAATATCTTCAATCACTAATGGCAAACGGGACGCCTCGGTAAGTAGATTTGATAATGATTTCTCCCTGCACTTTGTATTTGTTATATATCTCAGTTTTGCCCAATGACTACAATGAATACATGTTTTAAAAAGTATAGATTACTTTATTGGACTCTTTGTTAAGTCTGTTTTGAAACACTGTCACTACTCGAGGAATATTTCCCCATCTGAACACTCTTTATGCAGGTTTCAATACGCCCAAGAGCTCTACCCTCCCAAGGCGACGCCGTGTGAGCTCAGTGATTGTCGCCTCGTCTGGCTACATTCCAGTGTGAATACGTGAAAACAAAAGCTATACCACGCACCTGGACGAACCCTAAATAGAGTTGACCTTTTACGTTGGGTGTTTTGCCATCTAAAAATAGACTATTCCTTGAAGACTTGAGAGTAAACAGTAAAAATAATAAAAGTTGGTGGAGTAATAGACGAATGAATAAAATTAAAATTAAATAAAACGTAAACATAAGTAAAAAATTTAATTTATAAAACTCCAACATGTGAGTAAAGATGATATTTATAAAGTAACTGAGGCACTAAATAATAATAAATAATAATAATAATAATAATAATAATAATAATAATAATAATAATAAATAGTAATAATCTGATACTATAAATAGAAAGGACAATAAAAACTAAGAGTAATTAAAACCTTTTCATTCTTTCATTACTAAGACTTAACAAGAATCACTGTCAGGGTGTGTGTGAAGGTCTTTGTTGGATGTGTAAATCTGAATCATAATTTCTTAGCCTCGCTTCTTCAATTAAATAAATATTCCAACAGTTTCTGCCATAAACTGTCACGTGTGTCGTCGTTGTTAGTACCAGGTAAAATTTGTTTTGTCCTAAGTCAGCGGGATAAGAATGTGTTAAAAATCTTAATAAGTTTCTTTATCTATTTCCAAAAACAAAGGCAGACAAAACCAACTGTATATGAGGAATGGTGTATTATACAGTAAATGATAATTATGTATTATCTATGTGAAAATGCCGCTTGATAAATACTGATTCTGAGTTTATTTGTTTTAGAGCGCATTTTACAAGAAACTATGAATCAAAATCATTTAAAATCCCCCATTTTTTTTAAGATTTACACTTGATAATGCAGTATTTCATATTAAACCTCTTCTGCAACTGTAATCAACGTATATCATTCAGCAACATGTACTGTACAGGATCACAGAACTCTCCCGGCAAAGGTGACCTCTGTGTTGTGCCTCACAATGTACCACATGAACCACCCCGTCACGGCTATCCCGACACTCAGCCAGTTGGCAGGTGATACAATAACACGGTTGTTTACTGACATCGTAACGAGGTGACAATTTACATTCATGAACGTCATTTTCATAATTACTTGGGGTGGGGTGAGGGGGGATGGAGTGAGGGGGGGTGGAGTGAGGAGGGGGTGGTGTGAGGAGGGGGAGGGGTGGGAAGCTTCACGGTCGTCTCGGTTACCGTCCCTCCGCCCTTCCTCCCCTGTAGATTCGCCAGATATAATCTCATCTATTCCCTCCAAGGGTGGCAGGTGAACCGGTACCCAAAAAATTAAGAAAACTGGTGAAGTGGAAACCGCGGAAAAATATAAATTAATTTTGCTCACGACTACTGAAACTCACCCCCTGTGATGCCCCAGGAGAGGACAGACCAAAAGAATAAACAAACAAACTTTACATTCTTAAAACATTATGGAATATTTCCTAACAAATCTACGAAAATAAGAGAATATTTTTTTTTCATAATCAGCAACATTTACCTAACCTAACCAAACCCAATCAGTGTATCCAGATCTTCCCTTGGTTATATTACTTGTACACTCACGATAGTACATAATAAAATGTGAGGCTTAATGACACAGTTATAGACAGTACTAAGTAAACAAAATTTTCCTCACCCATAAAAAGCCTTTTCCCGCTTCAACGTTGGGTGACCTGAATCAAGAGCGAACACAACACCTTCCCTTCATACCCTATATCAATTCATCATTCATTCATTCATTCTTCCTGATGCGGTATTCCCCTTCACACAAGCCAGCCATCATTAACACCTCCTTCCTCAAAGCCACTCGACACTATGGTCTATAAGCTTTCATGCTGGGGGGTGGGGGGGGGGTCATTCTTAAGCTTACACACTCTTCTATCTCCCCCTCATTATTTGTTCATTCCCCTTCACTTTGTCTGACACCATACAGTCCATCACGTTATAGACAAAGTACCCCTAACTCTCTCTTCTGTTATACTTCCCATTTACGCTATTCTCTTCATCTTCCTTTTGTTTTATTTCTCTTTTCTCTCATATTATCACCTCTTTCGTTCCTGCTGTAGCTACTGGTTCTCTCACCCTGTTTAATTCTCTCCCCTTAACAGCTTCATGTTCTCTTTAAAACAACGTAACAGCCTTTCTCTTCACATTTCCTCTGCAATTATTCTCCTATCTCTTTACCTTCTTACGAGTAATTAATTTTCACCACTATGTCTAGACAAATGGAATACAGCTGATGTGGCCGGAGGAGGAGGTTTCTGCCTTGGTCAACACTCACCTCCGCTACTGTGTGTGATAAACCATGGTAAGGTCATTGCCGACTATTGTACAGTCAGTTAAAAAAAAACTATCTCCACTTAGGGTAATCGATGAATTTCGGAATGAACACTAGACTCCTGTTGTCTCGGTCGGGTTGCCAAAATCCTTCGTCCATTGTGTCATTTTTTTCAACACAATTTTGTATCGATCGTTCATTATTTACTGACTGTACATGGAAGACACTGAAACAGCTAAGTACCTGTATCACCTTTTTTTCTGATGAGACTACAAGAAAGGCTAAAATATAATGGAATCACTTTAGTTCTATGCTGAGACGAGCAGAGACCCCAAGACCAGCATATCCTTGTTAAAATACCATAGCATTGTGATCCAGTGAGAGAATTTTATATATATATAATCCCATAATCTTTAAATTTCATAAATTTGAAAATAAATGTAAAACTAAAAAAAAATATTGGAGGAAAGAAAATATGAACATGCCAATGCAGACTGGGAAACACACCATTCATTCTTTGTATTACCTTGTCTACATACATACAGCTGGCACTTCAGGCTGTTCCAATATCGACAATCGCATCCAATACTGCACTCACTTATTGGAGGGCGTACAAGGAGAGAACTCGGTTTTCCACTCAGTCGGATATCGAATCCAGGAGCCTTGGGTTGAATGGTGCGATAGAAGGAAAAAAAAAAGAGAGAAGGTAAAGTGAAAGCACATGGAGAGAGAGAGAGAGAGAGAGAGAGACTTACCGTCGTTGTGGGTGAGGTAGGCGTAGACCACGTTGACGGCGGCCTCCGGACTGAGGGTGTCCCACAGTCCGTCACACGCCAGAATCAGGAAGTCCTCGTCGCCTTCGATCTCCAGGGACTTGATGTCGCATTCAGACGACACGTACGGTTTGTATTCCCGGTCACCTGTCGGCCAAAAGACATTAACATTAATATGGTACTAAACTAACCTAACCTAACCTAACCTAACCTAACCTAACCTTAAACTGAAGAAAATCACCACTTTAATTATTACATGAACTGTATTAAGGCTCATTTATACCTTTAACCATAATAGCGACTTACTGATGGACTCTACATGAAAAACTACTCACACAACCACGCTACAGCCATTAACCAGCTACAGGAGCCACAGGCAGCCCTTCCCCCCCATACACAGCTCTTTATTAATGACATTATATTAATCACCAAAATTATGACTTAAACACAGATTAGAATAAAGATCGTAACTCAACTCCTAAACTGTGACTGTTAGTAAATTATCTGTAAATTATATATAAAAACTCTTTTATATCTACAAGTATGTATAAGGCACAACTTCAGCTCCACTAGAGGAAAATCCCGTCCCAACTTCCAGAAAATTATATTGATGTTTTTTACTGTCCTCCTTCCCCTTCACTCATACTAACATTGAACGAAGTGTCAGTGTGAGCAGTAACAACAAACAGGAAAAATTCGAAGGAAAAAAAGTGCCGGTAAAAGAGGATTTGTTTAACATTTTAAGTGTCCACCAACTGGCTCCTGTGTACAAAAGAGTGGAGGGAGCACATGACTGTAATAATAACAAGCAGGAAACATGAAGCAACAGACCTGTGTATACTGACTGCCCTTGCTCTGTATTTCTTCATTAGGGTGATGTAAACATAAAGAGTGTAGGGTAGAAATAACACTGACACATCACCAGTCACTCTCCCCTCACAGTTTTACTCAGCGGACTTACATCAATCACAAAAGCCAATATCGGTCTAATATCAGCGAGAAACTCGGATTATTTGAAAATTCCTGATGGTGATGACAATAAAGTATTAAAAGTTCTATTAAATACTATTGGGCAACTTATTTCGATAGATTTATAATATTATGTAACGTTTAACAAAAAGCAGAGGCGCCCTAACACCCAGTGACCAGGGCCTCTATTGGTAAAACTTGTGACCCAAGTTAAAGAAAGGCTCTCACTCTACAGTACTATCAGTCATGCTCCAAATTTTACCGAGAATGGAGCATTGTTCAAGAGCCGATCAATCACCCGACCCCCCAATAAGTACATTGTGTTTGAAGACCCCGCTTTCTAAACTGCGTGTTAACAATAAATGGGCGAACCGCGATACTGGATACTCTGAGAGCTGAATCCTACACTTTCTCACCTAACGACCGTGTGTACCCGAACCTGCAACGTCTAATTTACAAGGCTAACACTCGTCTGTGCAGTATTGATCTTGACTCTCCTCTGAATTACATAAGAAAAGCGTCACACTGTTCTGTTGAAGGTAAACACCTATTACGAAGTTCATATTGCTACAGTAAACATTATCCTAACACCCTTCAAAAATGGTGAAAACATATAATTTCTAACTTTCTTAATTTCTCTTCTTACTTCCTCTCTTTGACTCCAGGGAACCGTTACTACCAGTCACGTAGCTGTTAATGTTCCCATTGGGCAAAGAATAGTGGGCTTGTAAGTCGTGGGCAATTTGCAGATTATGTATCTCTTAGGCGAGGTCAGGGTGTCCCTTGAATGGGCGTTAAGACAGTTATTTCTTGTATACTTTACCGGCGTGAGGAGTTACTAGTCACGAAATGCCAGCCCTTCAAGCCTGAGCCGATCACGAGAGGAGAGTGAGAAGAATATAAGGTAAACATACACATGAGCTTCATAATTCAAATATCCCATGACGTGATTATCATAATTATATAAAAAAAACTCCTCACCGCCACGCACAGCATCCTGGTGAATCTTAAGCTCGGGGCAATAACGTTCCGAGACATATGGGACAAGATAATAGACAAAAAATTAACTACTTGATGAACAAACTCACAGGTAAAATATCGCATATAAAACAAACGCAGGATACGAAATATTTACTTTAGCTAAAAAGATGTTTGTTGACAGCGGCCTCACCCAAATGGTAAAACGGGGAATTCTAATAGTCTTTGAATTTTACTGTACAGTATTGTCATTCAGCTTTACACCTGCATAATTCGCAAAGGTTAATTTTAATTCCCTGAGTGAGAAAAAAAAATAACGCACATTGACTTACACACTGAATTATAAGAACATAAGGTCTTAGTCGAATGAGAGGATTAGCAACACTATACTGTGCATGGGAAAAACATATAAATACAAGAACATAATGAACGTGAACTATGGGGCTAAAAAAAATTCAAATAACTCATCCTGAATATTATTGTTTGGATACTGGTCACAAAGAGGTAGTTAATGTTAGATGGCGGATATTTGCAGCAGTCAAACTCCCAATCATTATTTTGATTGAACAATACTGCCGACGTATATCTCACATGTTCATAATATATTCAATTAAAGTGAAGGGAAAAATCTATTAAATCCCAATGAACGACTCGAGTCTCCAAATTTATGATGGCAGAATGCTCCCCTCCCCCTTACCCCACCAGACAAGGCCCGAGACATGAAAAACACAAACAAAAAGTTTACACCTCTACAAACTATTGCTACTAAACCCACCACCAAATCACACCCAAAAGATACGTACACGACTTAACCTGTAACACAACCGTGAATGTTCAGGCAGTTACCCAGTCCGTCTGAGACTACTATCATAAAATTGGTCCTGACGTTAATAGAGGAGAAATAGACCCGACACCTGATCACTTGTTTTTTTTTCTTGTAACCCCCAGGAAGTATATTACTCACACACAGATGGTGATAAAAAAGGATTGAGATGTTCCAAAAAATAGTGTGATGAAGGATGGCAGGTGGACACTACGACTGGGGGAGGAAGACTGATAGCTACATATACTGTACTGTGAAGAGTTCCCAGGAGTTGGGGAGAGTAACGGCCAGCCAGAAGTTTGCTGAACTGGGGAAGCACTGAAGCTAAAACTGTTGTCGTAATTTTCCAAAGCACAGGAGGTTTGTTGGGAGGTGGGGGGGGGGAGAGACAAGGAATTCACTAGGCTCAGGATGTTGGGGGTAACATAAAAGTAGAATTATTGTTTGTTGGTTTGTTTGTGTGTGTGTGTGTGTGTGTGTGTGTGTGTGTGTGTGTGTGTGTGTACACCTCAATCCTTTTGTATAAAGCTAATTGTCAAATATATCATGTCCGAAAAAGAAAGTGAAAATAATTAAAGAAAACACGAGCCCAAAAAGTCAAAAAGCAAGAAGAAATAATGTCTTCTGACCACCAAAACAAACTGAGGGTCATTTATCAAAGATGCCTCCAACACGTGACATGAAACTCCTCACTCAGCCATCTAGCCATGACCTGAATTAACTGGGAGGGAAGATGAGGTTGAAGTGTTATGTCACAAGGAGGACCTAAACCCCGGTTGAGGAAGACACTTAATGCGTGTCCTGTTGTTGTCGTCTAAATTACTAAGTCAATTAATGTTCCTCCTCTCCGAAATCTTTACAGAAAACGAATTGCTCTTAGAGAAAACGTGAGGGGGAGGAGGAGGAGGAGGAGTAACTGTCTTAAATTCGTCTTATGTGCTTGGCTTGGAGAAAACAGTGGCAGATTTTATTCGAGTACTCTACTATATTTCATTAATCTTACAAAAAATGGTGGACTAACATAGCGTTTTAAACTCCGAGTAAAATAATAACTTGAATTCATATTAAATCCAGCCATATTGTTTTTTATATTAAATAGTGACAAAAAAGTTTCAGGTGAAAATAATTATAACCTCATAAGTCAACAAACACATCACCTTGACACTAATTAAAACATCAATTGCAGGTATACAGACTTTCACCTGTTCATGGATGGTTGCTTGAACGTGTTGCCGTGTTCAACTCTCTTTCCACTGACGCACCTGCCGAATGACTCCCCGTGTGAGGAACCAAGCTTTCTTCATGACGCATCATAATATATCCATGACGCACCATAATATACCCATGACGCACCATAACTTCCCCCATAACGCACCATAACTTCCCCCATAACGCACCATAACTTCCCCCATAACGCACCATAACTTCCCCTATGAACGCGCCCCCCCCCCCACATAATTCTCAGTAAAACACATGGACCCCACAACGACGCAACAAAACTCTTAAAAGGCATAATGACTCCTTGTTGATGCTCCTGTGGCCCACCCAAACACCCCACCAGCCCCAACACACAGTATAAGTGCTCTTAGTTTATACAGGTAGGCAGGATACACAAATAATAATGGAGAACGGAGGGGGAAGGGGGTGGGGACGAGTAGGGACAGAGAGAATGGGAGGTAGTAAAGGATAGAGGAAAGAAGGAGAGGGAAGGGGAGGGGAGAAAGGAGGGGGGAGAGGGAAGAGGGGAGGGAAGGGAAGAGAGGGAAGAGGGAGAGGGGAAGGGAAGGAAGAGGAAGGGAAGAAGAAAGGGAGAGGGGAATGGGAAGTGGAATAATGAGAAGACAAGGAGAGGGAAAATAGGAAGAAAATGAAAGGTGGGATGTTAAGAAAAGGAGAGGAGGAATGGTAGGAAGAGGTGAGGAAATGTGAGGTAGCAAGCAAGGAAAGATGTGAGGGTACTGACCTATCGCCCTGGAGACGGCGAGCTGGCCCAGGACCCGCCAGGTGCCTTGGATGTTGATGACACAACCACCCAGCTCCTCCACACGCTCACGTTCCACCTGTGAACAAACACAACACTAATGAACAGTTTCCTGACAGGTAACTGACAACACAGTAAACAATAAACAAAAACACTTGTAATAGGCACTGGAGTGGTTAATTGTTACTAATACTTAAAAAAATATCAAGCAAGTTCAAAATACTAGAATATTACAGACACATTACTGGTGATTATTGGCCATGTTGGCTGGCGAGTGTTAGTGGCCACACCATCATTAACGAGAGTAATATGTAGAGGGTTTTATGGAGTTTACTATTCCAAAAAGTTAAACTGTATTCATACTATACAACGCAGATATTACGAGCTCATTTCATTAATAAAACTTAAAGAATTTCTTACATAAATATTACCTGTTATGATGGAATCAAAATTTATTTTGCCTAATCTGTTCAACAACATTTTTGCCATCTTTTCAGGTATATTCTTGCTAGAGACTACTTCTGATATAAACACAGTAAATATTAGCCTTGGTACATTAGCCATTAAAATATGAGCCTATGAACCTGTTGAACAGGTCCAGCGCCAAGAGTTTATCAGGACAGGTTCTGGAAAACAGGGAAGGAACACAGTACTGGTTCCCTTACTCCCCCTTCCTCACCCAGCACTTTGATATAAGAGTATAAGAGAGAGAATAAAATAAACAGCAGTATATTTCAAGACAGTACGTAACCATACCATTAACGCACAGTGGCGACCCTCTCCGAGGAGCCAGGACGACCAAAAACTATTACACATGATCGACCAATTAGGGAAATTGCCCAGGAAGAAGGCAGCTTTTACCGCATATCGTACATTTCTGGTAAAAGTGTTTATATATAAGGCTATAATAGTATCCCTATGTGAATATATTTTCATAACGTGCTCATAAACTGTATTTTATGTGGACACAAATGTTGGGCCTGAGGGTGAATTGAACCTTTATTTCTCTATATGCCGTAGTGTGTGTGGTCACCCTAGTTGAGGCTCTCAGCTGCAGGTAGTCCCGTCACGGTGCCCCGCTGCACCTACTGTGTGCGTAGCTTCAATGATTAGCCTTTAGGTAGCTACGTGATAATTAAATAAGAATATGGAGGGCACTGGGGATAGAGGTAGTGAGATAAAGAGTTCTTACGTTCACTAACAACAGATGGGGGAGGGAGGCTTGTGCACCATCCCCGGCAAAGTGGAGAGCATTATTTTCACTGTAGTTTATTTTATCGCCCCATAGCAAGTAGGCTGAGGAGCGAAGGTTTGGGATATAGAAAACGAAGACAATTCAGAGTCTACTCATAAATGGGGAGACTTTAGTAAATCTTTGTTATGGAATTCGTCCCACAAGTAACTGGTCACAGGTTCGACTCCCTACTACTGGGTTCACTGCTTGTACACTAGCCCTTCTCCACGCTGCAATAACCGAGTTCATTATTGTTTGAGCTTGTCAATGGTGAAACATCCCCACATTTACATTACCTACATGCAACATATACTCTTAAGCTATTTTTCAGCCTCCCATTCAATCTGCACGTATGGCCTGCACGTATGGCCACCACCCCTTCATTCTACATGCATGGTCACATTAATTCTGCACGCATGGCCACACATTAATTCTGCACACATGGCCACCCCTTCATTCTGCACGCATGGCCACCCCTTCATTCTGCACGCATGGCCACCCCTTCATTCTGCACGCATGGCCACCCCTTCATTCTGCACGCATGGCCACCCCTTCATTCTGCACGCACGGCACCCCTTCATCTGCACACATGGCCACCCCTTCATTCCGTATACATGGCCACATTCATTCTGTACACATGGCTACACATTCACTCTCTGAGCTGGTTATGTTGATGAAGTTTAAACATTCACTAATTCACTCTACCAAAACGTTAAGTCGACGGTCATTCCCGAAACAAGACACTGGGTCCCTTCACTCTAAATACCAGACTCACTCTACAAATATCTCACACTCACTCTACTCGAGGGTGTATCTGGTCGTGGTGAGTGAGAGGCAGGTACATAGGATGAATAAGAGACGACTAGAGACCGAGTGCCAGAGACAGCTTGTGTGACTCAGCTAGGAACACTTGAGAAGTAGCTACACCAAATAATATTACAACGTGAACGTTATTCTCCTCCAGGTTTCGTGTTATGTGTTTATACGATAGGAATTACATTTAATACCCGTACTTAATAATTGTGATTTCAGTCATATAGGTTTGTAATGTTTATGTACCAAATTTGAATACACGTCGTGATCACCAAGAGCATTTAACATAAACACGCCGACCACAGTACTGGGCCTGGCGTGTGGTGTGGCGTTCTTCACACTCTCATCCCCCGAGGTAACCTTCAGTCACCCTCAAAATCAAATCAACCAGAGAAAACGGAATTACTGCTCCGTTTTCTCCACGACCGCTCCTCCAGCCTCGCCAATTCCGGGCCATGTAATCCTATGAATAATAATAAGCAAACAATGAATGTTAATTGGAGGTTCATAAATATGTGGATTAACTGACCCTAAATTACCATACGACAAAGTTAATAATTATCATTCCTGGAAAAGGCAATTCTGGGGTAAGCGCCACGAGGCCCAGCTTACTGTGAGAAGGGGGGAGGCAGGCAGATGTGTGATCAATTCTTCGACGGATGTGATGGCTAGCTGAGCACACCTGCATCCCTAACTACCGCTACGTTCCTACAGTACACCTCTCTGACCTACCAACCACTGCCATCCATCCATTTACCTCCTCAAATTAGTCCATTTCTGAAACCCTCGTCACCACAACACAAACACTGGTTCATTACACAGTTAGTAACGCACTTAAGTATATAACATTTTGCTATCATCTACTAATTAATGTCGCCTCTCATTCATGATAAAACAACCGCATAGTACTTATACACTTAGGGTAGGCTTCTCAAACGTTCGCCAGACTTATGTTCGTCGCAATTGTCTAAATAAAAACGCGCCTGGCAGAAAATTTCTCAGTGTATTTTTATTTATTAGTCAAGTATTCATTACGTAGAACATAAACAATGCTGAAACCTTTAGGAATCAGACCCTTGAATAACAAAGGTTTAAAATTATACAGTACGATAATTTACACACAGATTGTATCGAGTTGCTGAGAGAGCTTAAAGGAAAAGTTACTTGGTAGAATCAGCTGAACCAAGTAAACAGACTTAATGGCAGAGAAGCTGTGATGTAACGTACCGGGAGCTCGGGCTTGTGAGGCTCCACCATCCTGACGGGGTTGCGGCGCCGGACAAGGAGCGCCTGAGAGTCGCCCAACCAGGCCACCACCAGCCGCTTCTCCCGCACCAGCGCCACCACTGCTGTTGTCCCTCCCTTCAGTTTCTGTAACACATGAAAAAACACGTTATAGCTATATACAGTTGTGAAGTTTTTATTAACAAACATAATGAAACATACACCAAACAGTTTCTCTAACACACAAGAACATGTACTCTTAATACACACGAGTACATAGACCACGTATCTGTTACACATACAATGAGAGAGCTTGATATGTGTTACGTAAAATATCCGTGTAACAAAAATGTACAGTCAAAGAAAAAAAGTCGTGTTACACTCCTCCCTCGAGCGTTATGTTCCGAAAACCGTGACGAAGAATGTGGGTAAAGTGGCAGTGAAGCTTCCAGGTTCGATTCTGAAAGAGGAACTTACCAAAATTCTTTATCATGAGTTTCAGAACATAAGACACGGTAAGTGTAACGCGACTGTTTCCTTTGACTGTATATAATGTTAACACGAAGTGAAGTGGTAACCGCTTTACAAATATAAACATACACACTATATATTATATCATATTAACTACAACCACCAGTGGAATAAATTGTCCAACGACCTTAACATCTGACTTAAGTGAAGCAACAAATGCTAAAGATTTCTTCCTCTACTTCCCATGGTCCCGTGTAAGAAGTTTTATAGAAATGGCCAAAGTAGAAATCAACTTAGTGTGGGATAATGTCGTGTACAAGACTTATGATCGCAGAACACACACAATGCCTCAACTGACGCAGTGTCGTAAAGTTATAACTCCAGATATTATAAAAAAAAGTACGACAGAAAACAACTGCGACCTCATTAACACCTGTGAGACACCTGGTGTACTAATGGCCACCTGTGATTCGCTTGGTATTATTGTGAACACGTGTGAGTTACTTGGTGTTGTTATGGGAACCTGTAACACATGTGGAATCACAAGAGTACTGACGAGGAATCTGGCCGCCTTTTGCGTGCGGTCCAGAACTATTCAAGCTCATGAAATTCAATCCTACTCTGTTGGTGCAGACAGCGAAGGAAGGATATGAAAACTAGGCCCATTTTCGCCAGTTTGTCCCTGGCCTCCTGAATATCTTCCTCGCCAAATGGAATTCTTTCATGACAAAAGCAAAAGTCGAGTCATCCTCAATTACCTGAAGGACAGTACAGATCACCCTGGAGCTAAAGGAACTGTAACAATACAGACCAAGATGCTGAGGCAAGGATTCCCCCCCCCCCCCATTTTACGAGACTTTGTGATGATACACTTTACTAAACCTGCTTAAGGACAACATCTCTGTAAAAGTTTAATCACCGCCGTTGTTGGTCGACCCAAAGTTGGTGTTAATTATTTAGTTTTCCGATCACACACTGTTATCTGTAAGACCACGTAATAGCCAGTAACGGTGTAAAAAATACGTTATTAACGGACTCTAGCCCTTTTATTGTTCTCAAAGACCACTGACATTTGCCACACTATATTATAGTGTACTGTACACCCTGACGGCGGCACACAATACACTGCCCCGCCAGCAGCTGGGTCTCTTACCTTTCCGTGTATTGTCAACTCTGGATTTGGACACCTGCGATAAGGTCACAAAACCTCTGTGGAAACTCATTACTGATGAATCAATATATTCTCTACACAGTTCACAGGAACCTGGACCTGAACAGCAACAGAAAGTTTTGTGGCCTGAATTTCTGATCATTCCTAATTACAAAATTACCTTCTTCCGTTAATCAGAAGACTCAACTGGGGAAGTGCACGAGGGAGAAAGATCAAGGTTATGACGTGTTGTGGAACGCAAACAGCTGCAGCAACACTTGCCATCTGAAACCAACTTTACCTGGTTGTAGAAACACCCGTCACTTACTTTACCTTGCTGTAGTAACACCTACCACCCACCTCTTATTTAACTGTAGTAACACCTGCCACCCACCTCTTATTTAACTGTAGTAACACCTGTGATCCACTTTCTCTGCCTGTAGCAACACCTGTGACCCACCTTACCCGACTGTAGCAACACCTGTGGCCCACTTTATCTGACTATAACAACACCTGTTACCCGTGACCCACTTTACTTAGCAGTAGTAACACTTATTTCCCACTTCACGGCAGAGCACTAAACTTCGCTTACCTCGTCACGTTTCTTTCTCTACCATCACCCAGGAAGACATCATACACACACTACTCCCGTACTTCGTCAATGGGTGCACACACATATAACACAAATGGTTGAGTAAATCGTCCATAATCATGAGTTAAGCAAAAACATGATACTGTTAGACGGTTTATCCTCTCCGTGTTTTAATCGCTAAAGATCTAAAGTTTATTCTAAAGCTCTTGGTGGTAACTAGAAAAAGAAACACTAGTACTAAGTAATGGTCGGGTAGTGGATGAGGTAACCAGGGAAGGTATGAGTTAAGTGGTCGGGTAAAAGGAAGGACTGACTCTCCACACAGTCGTCACCTGGCTGAACACCGTGATGCAACAAGTATCACGGGCGGCAAGCATGGCGTGTAGGTGTTCACTCTTACACACACACACACACACACACGTCACAACCCTGCCTCAAAACACTATCACTATTTATCCACACAAAGTGACTGCCTAACGTTTTAATAGTAAAGATGTGAGCGAGGTATAGTAATTTTTGCTGACATTCCGTGAAAATGTCAGGGACGGAGACCATTGACTTCACGACCCCCTACCCTCCACGACCCCCCCTACCCTCCACGACCCCCCCTACCCTCCGACCCCTACCCCGACCCTACCCTCACCCCCACCTCCCGACCCCCTACCCTCCACCTCCACCCCCCCACCTCCAGACCCCTACCCCCCTCCACCTCCCCCCCCTACCCTCCACGACCCCTACCTACCACCTCCGACGACCCCTACCCTCCACGACCCCCCTACCCCTCCCGACCCCCTACCCCCACCCCCCCTACCTCCACGACCCCTACCCTCCACGACCCCCCTACCCCCCGACCCCCTGTACCCCCAATGCTGTATAATACTTGGCCATGACACATAAGAACAAAAGGATGGAGGAAATTGTAGTGGACCTATTGGCCCATACTGGCCTACTACTACACCCAGACTATACTACTACACCCACCACCCACACTATACTACTGCTACACCCACACTATACTACTACACCCACCACCCACACTATACTACTACTACAACATCATTACTACACCCACACAATTAATTTCTTACATCACCTAACCTTCCTTTTATTCTTTCCTATGTACCGTTAATCCACCCGACCGTCTAGAGTCCACTGTCTAAAACAACTTAGTATGACTGACCAAGCTACAGCCTACCCCCAGCTGTGAGGGCACCGCTGGTCTGAGAATAAACATAACTATAGTCTCATCAAAATTCAGGTTGAAGGAAAAGATGAAAATGGTGGGAAATGTATTTAACGTAATATCCCAAGAGGAGTATTTGTTTAACCTCAGGTGGACGCTTGTGTTAGCAGTGTACTTGTCTGAGAGGCTCCTGGGGCGTAAAATCCTGTAGAGTGATAGTGAGGAGCCTTGGAAGTATACGCAGGTAATATGAGACTCAGGTGAACCATGACTTAAGGTGTACAAAGTAGCGAAGTATGTCAGGTGTGAGGTGGTGGGTCGGTGAGTGGCCAGACTTACCACGTGATCTGCCTGGAGGAGTCTTTCTAAAATAAACCCCAAAGGTGAAGGTAAAGTGGTGGTGGTGAAACATTACCACCATTCATCCTCGTGTGATGACTACAGTCCTCACTCACACACTGCTGTGACTATCCATACCGCTTGCTAATTTAGTTTGATACGGTTGAAACTTTGTGTTGATGGAGTAACTCCCCATAATCTCATCTGACCTTGAAACTATAATAATCTGACCATTCTAAGGCTCCTTTCTTATACAACTAAACTTTTAATGTTTGCTGTCTGGTTTACATAGTGGATATCAATTAATGTAGCCACTGTTGCTCATCGTGCAGCTTCTTCTATAACTCGTCACCGACCCAGGCAGCTAATCACTATAATCAAACACAATTCATCCACGAGACCAAAAAAAAACGGCTACGAAACTTAATTATACCTAATACGAGATCATCGTCGTCACAGTCAACCTGAATTTAGCAATTGACATTTAGATTTCGAGGTCAGGCGCAGTAAAGGTTTACTACCCGAGTAAAAAGTTGACACAACGGGATGTGTGAGAGCAACATTACCAGCGACAGTGTCTCGCACGCCGCAGGCTACGACCACAGACCAGCGAGAGAGAGAGGGGGGAGCGAAAGAGAGAGAAAAAGGAAAGGGGGAAGAAAGAGAGAAAGCAAGGAAGGGGAGAGAAAGCAGGGAAGGGGAGAGAAGGGAGCGAAAGAGAACAAGGAGAGAGAGAGAGAGAGAGAGAGAGAGAGAGAGAGAGAGAGAGTCGTACAAGTAACCAACAGCCTAAGGATCATCTTCAACATAACCAGACAGCAAAAGGTGTAGGAGGTACAGGTTCCCTCACGCCCACAGTATGCACCACTTTCCCGGATGGCCTGTCGCCCCCACCTCATCTTCGACGATCACTGGACGAGATACAGAGGAACAGGCAAGGCAACTCTCTCAAGCCTCGATATAAACAGGTAGACCCTAAATATACCAACCTACACGTACCCCCTTACTTTCACGTTCAAGGTAAATGTACTTCAGGTTCCCCTCCCGACCCCACCACCAGGATGAACTTGACGTAAGATATGTCCTCTTAATAACAAAAGCTATAGACAGGTTTAATTTATTTGACTTTCATCGACCTTCCGACTCGTGTCATATTTCACACTCTATTGTGAAACTGATCGCATCGCCGCTCACTGACCAAGAAAAAAGAAATCCCCGGTCAAAATTCTACTGTCTTTTAAAAACTTCATATCATTTCATAGAATTAGAATTACAATAAAATGATCATTGTGGCTCTTGACGAAATACACACGTCATGGTGGCACAATTATGATGTTCAGAGGCATTTTTATATTCAGCAACAACTTACAAATATACTGGTATCATTGTTTACCATTCATCACATGGAAAGGAAATACATTTTTTTTTCTTCTTCAGGAGAACCATAATGAGCAACGAATATTGAAAATCTTTTATCTCAGCTGTTGCGGGTAACTGTGGATGAATCGGTGTTCACTCATGCCTAGAGCCCGGATGTTCAAGCACTTAAGGACCAAAGGCCGAGAGATAAATGTAGGCAACTTAAAAAAAAAAAAAAAAAAATTCATCATTTTACTTTAAAATTAATATTACAATACTATTAGTCCAATCAATTATAGTTGACCAGTCAATTTGTTGGGAAAAATAGTTTTATTAATTTTCTCAGTTGGAACTTTGCTGCTTCTTAGAGACAACACGTGGACAATAAATATTGCTTTTACAGGTGACCTAATATTTCATCCAATAACGTCGCCGACCGGAAGCTGTAGTGTAAGAAGCAAGAAGGTATGCACTGTATTCTGTTGGCCAGTTTTGTGAGCAGCGGTAAATGTAGAGAAACAAAGTACTTCCTCTCGTAGTTCACTGATTTTTTCGCACATTCAACAAAGTAATAGCGCCCCATCTGTAGACAATACATTTTGCTGTCAAAATCTTTAAATAAATTGTTAAGTTTTGAAGGAGTACTGAATTTTTAAGCATTATAAAGTGAAATGTGTCCAGCAGTGTTGAAAAGAGAGCAGACTTACTCCAACAATACGGTCCACAGTACCGTACCTGGGGATATTCTCGCGTACTGTACCCGTCATACACACGTGTTCAGTACCCGTCAGTCAGAACGGTGCCAAAGGAAATAATCGATTTTAACATTAAGTAATCTGCTTCGTGGAACACAATTATTTTTTTTTAAGAACAGCCAAATAGTAATTAACAACACTTGGGAGTTTCTCTTATAAAAGAATGATATAAAAATAATTGACGATAGACAAGATTGGCATATTAAGACTACATAAGCAGTTTTATATTGAAATAGCAAAAAAATGGGCCTATGGTCTATGGAAAAGCAGCGGTAAAGCAGGACACAGAACACGGCCTATGAAAGGTGGTAGGGCCAGAGATCACTACTCCCCAACCTATTGAAATCTCCAGCACCATAACCTCCCACCCCCCTCCTCCTCCCATACCACGCTCCTCCATATACCAGGACTCAACTAGCAGGCTACACACACAGCGTATGTAATGATTTAAAAGTGATCACACACACACACACACACACACACACACACACACACACACACACACACACACACACACACACACACACACACACACACACACACACACACACACACACACACACACACACACACACACACACACACACACACACACACACACACACACACACACACACACACACACACACACACACACACACACACACACACACACACACACACACACACACACACACACACACACACACACACACACACACACACACACACACACACACACACACACACACACACACACACACACACACACTAACCACATGCTGACGCTAAATTGAACCCCCCTATGCGGTTAATGTTCGTAGGTGCGTTAACCATAAAGTGTTTAGGGGAAGAAAAACCTGAGGGCATCTGGTTTATAAGTTACAATGTATTTTGGTGAGTCAGTAACAGTGTTGAGGAAGTAAACTGATCATCTCATTTATCCTTCAGCTTCCTACTCTCTTGATAGTCTTATATTTTTACCTTTATAGAAGATCTCTCAGTTTGAACATCTCTGTGTCTTAATATATTATTCTCAGTTAAATATTACTTTCGTCTTCATTGTGAGAATTAATATTTCCTCTTAAGTTTCAGATATAAGAAAATCGTAGAATTTTCATGTTACTTTTAATATTGGGTTCTGAAGCGTCAACAAAGTATGGTCTGGAAACATGGAAAATAACAACGACAACTAACGTGAAATATCTTAAATTTTGCTGTGTCATAGTGTGGACGGACGGACGTGATGCTGCGTTTAATAAATATTTATATATACGAGTATTAAGCTTCATCAAAATACCTCTACCAGCTCAACATCCAATTACAAAAAAAATAAACGTATGACCTTCAGCCGTGACCTCGACCCCAGTGAAATTTCGTCGACATATCTCAAATCAATTCAGTAGTTATGAACGCTACATTATCATTATATAAATCTTATTTTTGACCTTGAACTCTGACATAGACTTGGTGTTGTGCACATGTCTGGTGGTGACATAAATTCAGTTAATCTTCCGTCAAATTACATGTATTAACACGCGATTTATCCTAGACACTAGGGGAAGTTTACGAACACCAAGACGAACGAACAGACCTACACCATGATATGTTCGCTGTTTTCTTTCCTTAAAACAGGCATGTATGTACACACCAGCCTGACATTATAATGTTATCGTTGTTGGCCACACTGGGCGTGACCGGTGATGGTGGGTTGAGGATGGACACGTCTTGTCCGCCCACTCATCACATTACCTGGATAAAAACGTGTATCTGTTTGGTCGAAGACACTGCATGATTACCATTACTGTATTTGTCATGGCTTAAACAACATACTAGCCAGGTTTACTCTATCACTGGGTGGACAGAGGCTCGGTATTTTACTAAGAGAAATTTTCCACATACTGCCACAGCTTCTTACAAGAAAAGTTATAAAAAATATTAACATATCACGGTTTGAGATACGTTAATGGTAAATCAAACACTGATGACTTACAGCTGCCACACCCCCCTTTTAAGTCTTACAAGTAAGAAATGTTAAGATGAAACTCCCAGTTCAGAAGTAAGGTTGACCTCCCATCACAGCCTCAACCTTTAATGGTGAGTTAAGAAGACTCGGCAGTTAACTTGAGTCCTGGTCAAGAAGACGTTCTACTGGTCATGGACTGGTAGGACAACATAAGAGTGTGATAACATTTTAATTCAACATGAAGACTCTTTGTAATATTTACGGGGAGGACAGCAAAATCCCAATATCACCAAGGCAGACACAGGTAATGGTGTGATCAAGTGTGAGGCGTTCCTTCATGTACAAATGTTTGAGGTGGCCCTCAAGTAAAGATGCATCAAAGCGGTATTTAAATTCATTATTGTTGTTGTTTGATTTTATTTTTTGTGTGTGGGGGGGGCAACTTTAAAGTTTGGGAAATGAAGGCGGTCGAGTGCAGTGTTGACCCTGGCAACATTTTTAGGTAGCTGATCACTATATACCGTCAAGCAGGAAGTTCCACCAGCATGGCTCGTGGCCCTCCCTGGTGATACAATCTCATAATGCTGTACCTTCCTCAGTCTTCAAGATTAATGGAACTAAAACTTATAGTTCAAGACCATGGAGGATTTACATTCTACTTAGCAGTCTAAACGATGATCAGTTAAATTATCATATTAATCCTCACACCCACGTCCTTCACCCTCTAAGACTTCTACATAAAATCTCCTCAGTTTGATGATCTTCCTTAAGAGTGTAAAGGAAAGGAAGAATTAAGCCTTTGATTAGTGACTTTTGTGTAATCATTGTTTATCACTTCCCTGTGGTTGGGCAAGGCAAGGCAGGAGTGATCTGTCTATGGTCAGTTTTCTCAATCCTTCCCTCGACATCCCTTCTGCTTTCTATTCATTCCCCGAAGAAGAGAAAGCGTAACGCAGTCAAACTTATTTGTTTTTTCTCTAATTTTTCAGTTTTTCCCTGTTTTTAACCTTACCTTACGTCCTACTGTTCTCTATTTTCCTGTTTTTTTCCTTCATTTCTTCCCTTGTTACCTTTCTTTATCACTATTACGTCCATTACTACTGTCAATAAACACACTGAGCACCATGCAAGGCGTACTTACAGTAAGAGTCACACTAGGGATCACGGACGTACACAATCAACATACCTGAAACAAACAAAAAATAAACTGTTAATCCCAACTACAACATAACTACAGTAATATATTAATAGTCTGTAGTCGTGTGCCGATCCAGTAATACTACTACTAACTACTACAGGGCGGCAGGATAAGTCTCTCCACCACAACACACACCGTATCTCTCTACAAAATACCGTCATCTAATACTACATTATGTTCCTAATCTCATTACCTACCCTGAGATATACTTACACTAATATAATAACTTTTTAGACTAATAATTAATTGAACTTAACCACAAAGAAGTTTTCATGTGGGTAGAGAACAACGTACACGAACATGCTGGCTACTATTATTATTATTATATAGGGGAGTGAAATTACCTCGACCAACTGAGCAGAGGAGATGTATTCCGTCTTGTTGTTGTTGGTGTGTTGGAGGACCACTTCCTCCACCACTCTGTCATCCTCATCGTCGTCTATCACCTTGCGACGACAGCACAGCAGCTTGTCGAACATGTCACTCTTAATGAACATGGTGCCACACTACTGTCACTCAACACACTTCACAATACTAGTTACTATTTCTTATCCAAGTTTTTGTTTTTTCTTGTATTATCACTTTATTAACGTTTTTTTTTTTTAAAGATTATTTCACGAGCATAGTTCCTGTTAGGTGAGGTGTGAGGGAGATACCGAGCGAGGAAGTGTTAAGTGAGTGCGGTGTGGCCTTCAGACCATACTGTACTGTTCAACACTTAACTTTCACTCAAGCTACATGTTACCACCTTCAACCTTCCTGCCATCAGCAAGGTAAACCAACACTAAAATATCTGTTATCATTACGCTTCCTGAAATACAACAACAGTGTCAAGATGGATCACTTATAAGAAAACATTAAACACAACTTTATCTGACAAACTTAGTACACAACAGCAGATTGTGTATGGAGTACGAGGTGAAGTTGGGTATTATTTGGATACTGTACAAGGATAACGATAACACCGACATGTAAAGATAAGACACAACGCGTTAACCAAAGAATACATCCCACTAAACACAAGCTGACAATAAACCCAAACACTAGTAGAACCATTTCCCCGCGCTCTCCTAGAAAATTAACCCTAACTTTCCCTATCAATCATACACGGGTTCAACACACACACACAAGAGGACATGTCGAACGCTTCCACACGCTGGTACACACAATGACAATCTCCCTCCTTATCATACAACAGCATCAGCTAGAGACCCAGGTGAAAACTGCTGCCAGGTGTTCTTATGCATTACATCAAGGACTACCAATGCTTTCATCAACATGTTTAGCATTTAGTTAGTACCGTTATATACTGAGTGCAGGAGAACGTACACGGGGTGACTGGAGGGTTAAATCTTGCCTACAGGAGAGGAATAGTGAGCGCCTCTCCACTACAGCCACCCTAGCCCCTCATCTCCCCAGGCACCAAGGGGGGGGGGGGGTAGGAGGGGGTTAGTAGTAGGCTTACTTCTACCCCACCCTACTAGGCCTTTCTCTCCCTGGGTGGGCTAAATCATAATGAAACTTGTCGCTTATTCCTGCCGTCACCTCACCACACACAGAGTTAACGCCTCAGTGTGTGTGTGTGTGTGTGTGTGTGTGTGTGTGTGTGTGTGTGTGTGTGTGTGTGTGTGTGTGTGTGTGTGTGGCAGCAGTACCTATACCTTCACCATTTACAAACGGCGTAACATCCCTAACCCTTACTGATAGAGGAATGTAAAATATCGTATTGAATGATCCTCATTTGACCATAACTTCTCAGCTCTAACAGTACAGGAGGCAAGGCCGAGGGAGAACTTCAGTCTAAATCAAGAGTTTATTGAATTTCTAGGTCTCTTATCGTGTCTCTACGTCTTGGTGTAAAGCTTCACCTCCGCCTTGAACCTCCACCTTTGTGCTTCGTGGCCTGGCTGTGTTTGTGGTACAGTTAACTCTTAGCTCCCTTTTAAAACCTGAAATGATCAAACTCCATATAAAATCGACCTCATATACTACACCAAACAGAGGCTCTCATTACCATAAATAATGCCAGTGAATGATGATCCCCCACTTCTCTCATTCAAAATTCTCTAAATTATCACTTTAGAATTATAGCGGCTTCAAAAAGAATTAGGTTTGCTCTGTGAGAATTTTCATAAATACCCCACGAGTACACAGCTGACTTAACCCCACCACCGTAATGAAGTGGAAATTCTCTGGCAAAATTTCAGAAAACACAGCAAATCTGGTGTTAGGAGAAAGCCAGAAATTAGATGTGCGTGAGGTAGAAAGTTGGTTTACAGGTGGAGCGAGCCCCTCAGCCACCCAGCTTGGCCTAGTGAAGGACCAGCTTGTTCTCAGCCTCTCACCACTTCAATATGTTTCCAACCACCACCGCCTCCACACTGCCCATGGATATTGTCATCTCTCACCACAACAACAAGCTACAAGTTATTAACCATCATCACTACGACTACTACAACCACCATCGCCAATTGTTAATGTTCTAGTTATTTACATAGGTGATTATTTACCTTAATTGTTTAAATGTTAAGTCAATCACAGGTGATAAATGTAACGCACTGTGGTAGGGTTCTTTTTGTCTGAGACGCCTTGGGTCCCAATGTTTATTTTGTACAAAGCCTCCGGTTTAAAATTACCTAAATTAACAAAACAACAAATAAAAGCTAACATTGTACTTTCTCAATACCTAATTCTAAAAGTCGTACTTTTGGTTATTTTCGTCAGACATCTCAGAACAATTATTGATAAAGTATTTAATTTATATTACACGAACAGAGATTAAACAACTTCTTAATGGCTGTTTTTATCCAATTCAAATGCCAACGGAAGCATCCAGACTGACAACTTGGGCCCAGATTAATATCAGCATTGTGTATTATAAAGTAAATGTCCTTGTGACCTCTCTATTACTGTATTAAACATTGTCTACCATATAACAAAATCCTGAAGATGGTCAACTCCTCAAACGGTGATCAATTTTTTCAAGGGTAATAAACTCGACCTAAACAACAGTCTAGCGAGTCACTGTGGGAAGATGAATTCTGAGACGCCACGAACACGGAATATTACATGAATAATATATCAAAACCAGGTAACACTAGCTTCTGTTTTTCCTATCCTGTATACCATCCAAGTTTCTTCAATAAACGGTGAAATTAAGAAGAATTTTCCTCCCGTTATGGCGTAATGTTTGGCTGAGTAAATCGTTTGTCAAAAGATCTCAAAACTAAACCACATTTGTAAGTTTTCTACAGTGAACTACATCCATATCGATACATCTTTCTAAAGGAAATACAACTGGATTATTTCTTATACTACAAGTCTACAACACTATAATCTCCCTATCTGTCTGAGAGGAAAATACTCACATTATATCTCCTTTACTTAAGTCTCTATAACTAAAGCTTAAATACATGCAGGTAATTGTGATCAAGTTAGACAGTAATCCCCGACCTGCCAGCCATCACCACACACCTGTCTGGCCGCGGATAAAGTCAATTCGAAGATCTTAGTTACGCTGAGAGAAGTATTTTCAAACGCGAGGAGCAATACTATAACAAACACTATCATTTTACCAAACACACGGCGAGGGGGGAGAGCAAGAAGAACCGGTTTGTAATGGAGGGCAGGAAATATACTTTAAAATGTTCATAACAATCACCAGTCAACACACTAACCCCCGCCTGGCATCCACACAAACAATGTCACTCACATCAGTCCATAGTGGTTCTTTCTTCCTCAGTTACGACGCAATAATCGCCCATACCACCTCACTGTGTTGTGTCCGTCCTACCCTGGGTGTTGGCCTCAGGTCGTCATGTCGGTACAATTACGTGACACAGCCAGTCTTTACACAAATAGAGGCCAACAGTTATCACCCCTCGCATCTCTCTGAACCGTCACTCAACACAAATGAAAATACATAACCTACAGACGAGAAGTGACTAATTCTTCCCATGTGAAAAGAATAATAGGTACAGTCACCCAAAAAAGTCCTGTCGCGAACCATGAACCCCGAGATTCAGACTCTTGAATCCGAAGCATTTATGGACAGAATAATGTATCAGTGTCTACTGCTTCGGGTTCACGAGTCTGAATCAAGGTTCGCGACAGGACTTTTTTGGGTGACTGTACATTAGTATTACCACCACACAACTACAGGACGGTGATGTATCTCTTATCTCACCACACCATGAGTCGTCACTACTATAATTACTAGCAATGTAATAACTGCTTCTATTACGTCTCCATCATCTGTTCTCACGATCAGTAAATGCTTGAGCAACATCATCCGGGGCTAACTCGGTCAATCAACTGCGTATAAATAACTCCAGCAGCCATAACAAAAACAAACACGATATTTAATAGACGAAACTAAAATTAACTCGCATACTGGAGCACAAAGCGTAAAATGACGTCATCTTCAAAAACAGCTAAACGTTCAGTCCTTAACATAGGGATGGTTAGTGACCAAACTCCTACATTCCTCAATAATGTAGCTATGAACAACCCCTCGCTAAACTACTAAGGGTAAGCAGACTGACTGCCCTCATGAAAGTCTGTGGGGCGTAAGAAGGTTAGTAATACATTAGTTCAACAGCAATAAAAAAAAATGAGATAGAGCTCTCTGTGTCGACGTGATGCAATGAAAGTCGAGCGAAATGTGTCAGTACATGTACCAGTGTTTCTATGATGAGTCTGGCAACTTAACACACCCTGGCCCTTTGTTGACTAAATAGCAACAACTTAACTCAAACTTGTCATTATGAACTAAGTTTTACCTAACCTAATCCTCCACACTTATTATTTTCAACATCCGAGGCAGTAATTCCGAAGAGGAATCCCGAACATAGTGTCACTATTAAGTAACCTGACAGATAGATTCGTCAAAGCTGCTATTCGATTTTGACGAATCAATTTGTCGGGTTCATGCTCAGGATTCCTCTTCGGCGACCGTCTACACCTCTCCCCCAACTACCCACCTCCAGGGTCAACCACTTTTTGAGACACTGAAGTAAACCTAGTGAATACAATAACATGCACAATATAACTAAAAAAAAATAAAAATAAAAAAATAAAAAAAATAATAATCCACGAACTACAGAATGTGACTGCTACCCTTACCTGACCACACCAGACATACAGTACCACACTCTTAACTTTGGGAATAAGAAAAATAAAATAGAAATAAAAATATCTAACAAAAGTAGGAACCAGCAACATCTACTAATTGAAAGTTGAGTAAACAAGAGAACGGAAGAGGTTTAATTAACACAAGAGAAACTGGACCATAGAGGTGATGGGTGGGTGAAAAAAAAACTGCTAACAAGATCTGGGCCGTGAGTGTGAGGGGGCAAAAAGTGAATGTGGCACAACAACCGTGACCACAACACACACACACACACACACACACACGAGTAGAGTACTAACACATCAGGTCTAAGAAACATTATGTATAAGACGATGGCCAAGAACTGTTTCCTATATACAACAGGACATAAACCTCATCAACCAATACAAATGATGATATAGCCACGAGAGAGAGAGAGAGAGAGAGAGAGAGAGAGAGAGAGAGAGAGAGAGAGAGAGAGAGAGAGAGAGATGACTGACAAACACCAAAGGTCGAGATAAGTTTTAGTATAATAATCTGAGGTAAACTTTGGGCCGCTAATACTACACGTTGGAGAGAAGCAAATAATGAACCACCAACACTACTCCACCAACCCACCAACACTACTCCACCACTGACACCAACACGCCCATCGCTCACCAACACCACTCCACCTACACGTCCACCACCACCACAATATT